AAAGATCGCACTGCTGGAAGAAAAGCCGGCCGTCCAACATAATTCGTCGAGCGAAAGTAATTCGCCGGCCCCAAAACTGCCGCAGACGAGGGCCAAGAAACCCTAGCTGCGCCACAAAGTTTACTCAAATATACGTGCAGCAAATGGGACCTATATGCAACCTATTAAAATTCAAGTTTTAATTTGTTTAAGCAAAACCTAAATAAAACCAAATCCATTTAATTTGTACAAATACTACTAAAGTAAAAATTATGAATAAAAATGTGATTAAATTACTCTTGATGTATTTTTATGAAAATTTAACCTGAATGGAATCTTATTTTGCTGAATTGAGCAGATTAGGCTAATTTAACATGAATTTCACCAATTTCAACCGGTTTAGTAAACTTTGATGTTACCAAATGGAATCTTAATTTAAAATAAGTAGGTTGAAATTAAAATCCTTTTGATAATACTAAAATTGGCTTAATGAAATGAATTTGTTGAAATCGATAAAATTCTTGTTGAAGCGGCTATATTAGCTTAACTTACCAAAATATGGAAAACAACAAATAAAAATATATTTTATTAAAACAAGAAATAAGTATCTGAATAATAGAGATAAAATGCATTGAAATTGACCATACGATTTTGGAATGACACCAACTTTCTCTTTTAAGGGAGAAAACATAATACTTTCTGTCAAAATTTTACACTACTTTATTCATATTTTGGAATTTTTCTAAAAAGGATGTATTCAACAAAGCCAGAGGTCTCACTTGACAAGTACACTCGACAAAAGAGATGTTGATTATAGATTGCAAATTTATGCTTATGATGAGAGGTGTAACGTGATGTGAATACACAACTTTTTTTCTAATGTATTTAAAGAAAGAGGAATATGAAGTTCGGATAGTTTAGGAGTCCGTTTAGTAATCACTATCGACCAACCTTTTTATCAAACATGTAACATTTGATGCCGCATGGTGTTGAATTTCATAGTAATAACCAGGAAGGGACGAGTAGAATGTGAAGCACATAAACTTTTGGAGAAGGACTTTAGAAACTCTCTAAAAAGCTTCACCTTGTGATACATAGACTTTCATTTTTTTTCTAAAATGAAATGTAATGTGCAAGACATTAAGCATATTGATGTTTCATAGTAACACTAAGAAAGCGAGAAACACAATGCCAAATACAGTATGATATGATTTTAGCTACAATATGGTTTGGAACTCTAAACAAGTCAGTACATTTTTTTCTTAATCTTAGCTTCAGAGTACAACACAATAGCACGTAAAATGATTTCGAAAGTTCGATAGAGTGCAACTAGTTTTGTCAAGCTTGGGTGAGTTTTCACGATCCTTTACAAATTACAATCGGTTAACTCAAAGGCAAAATGACGGCACATAATTTTGAGTTAAATATCCAAGCAATTCCCATTTTTGAGCTTATTTGAGCTTACTCGCTCCTTACTCGTTATTAATTCGGTATAATTTTTTATGACATTCATATATGACATATATCTATTTTTTATGTAAAATGATCCAAATTCTCATCTTCTAATAAATGAATGTACAACAAAAGATACACTTAGAATTAGAACGGTTCCAATGACACTTTTAAACCGATGATGGGTAGAAGAAACCGTTTCTGACAACTTTAAAGAGTCATGACGAGTTGAAGATCGTGTACCTATAGTAGGCATTGATGCCGCATACACCTTTTTAGTTCTGTTAGTATATTCATTATCAACTGTTGAGATATGTCAAACAAGTGAAAGAATTGTATCTCTAATTGAACAGAATTCTTTAGAAAATTGGGATCCTAGCTTCTATAATACTATCGTAAGTATGATAACTTTAACTTTCTATTTTATACTCCCTATTTTATTGTATGACTAATTATGTTATAGTGTATCAACTGTTCAGATAACTTTAATTATTTCACGTAAACATTTAAAATTTTAAAAAATAATTTAGTATACATGTATAAATTTAGTTTAATTATTTATTGTTCCTTCAAGTTTTAACGGTATAAAAACTGAACACCCAAAACCTAAATCATAAATCCGAATATGTATATTTCTCTTTTCTATACATACATATAGATTGATTAAATGTGTGGAAGGACATAATTCGTTTCTTGTATAAAAATATGTTGAAGTTTAGTATTGAAAGAAAAGAAAACAAGATGTCGTTTATTTCTTTGCTTAGGCAGTAAGTGGTTAATGAGTGAATTGATTATGAGAAAAAAATTCTAAATAGGACTAAAATAGTGATAAAGTTTATAAATAGGAATACCATTGTTTTATTCCTAAAATAGCACTCATTCACTCCTATTTTTTGTAAATTGTACTCAACTTATTCTTTTAATAGAACCAAATGAATCCTATTTGAGGAATAAAACACATTTAATCTTATTTCCGCACTTTAAAAAACTTTTGATCCTAAAAGATAACATCCATAAAGATGGCATATAATGATTTGTTATTGCTTTAAAAGAAATAGTGTGCACAATTATATATTATGGTCATATATATGTTTATTGAGATTTAAAAAAGGGGGAGGCATATCCTTCTTTTTACTATGCATATGAGTTGGATGCAGGGGCGGAGCCAGGGAGGGCCAACCCTGGCCCTGGCCTAGCCTAAATTTAAAAATTGTTCATATTTTTAGTGTAAAAAATTCCGTGTAATTTTTTTTTCAAATATATTCTTTGTACCGGCCCAGTCCGGCCCAGTGCTCTGGCTCCGCCCCTGGTTGGATGGTGATTGTAGACCGATGGAAGCATGCATTTTTTACTAATGGTGTTTCGAATACACTATTGTATGGTGACCTTGTCTCATCCTATACTTTTCATGATACTAATAGATACAAGGTGACATATGCACCTTTTATCTGAGATGATAATCATAAATTTTGTATTAGTTTTGGTGATGTACATATCAGAAATGAACAACTTGAATCCTTTAAATGATTGTTTGAGCATTTTTGAAGGCAATGGGGGCAGGAGGCACACGACTTTATTTATCATCACTTATCAGGACTCACCATGAATTTGAAGAAGCACGCATGTAAAATGGAAATATGTATGGCCTTTTCCCATGAATATTACTAAATTAAATTCAAAATACAAAAAAATGATTTAATTTAAAATTTTCCAAAACAGTGACATATTTAGTGACTAGTTTACAGTGACTTCGTCATCTACAGTGACTTGTCATTCTAAAATACACTATAGTGACTGGTCATATTTTTGTCCAAAAACATAACTAATCATATTTTTGTCCGGAGAAACTCAATTAGTAATGTACATGTCATTTTTTCAATAGGTATTCATATTTTGATTTTGTTTTTTCTTCTTTATTTATGAAAAGTGATTATCATTGATTTTTGGAGTTGTGATTTACACTTTTCCAAACTTTTACAAATTTCAAGATGAACTATGGCATACTCGTATCAATTATGAAGTTTGCGAAAGGAAAGAAACCAGTGAATGGGTGATGATTACTAGTGTAAAATTTGACAGAAAGGCCGGGTTATAAAAAACGAAATGTTCTTTACATTCCTTTAACGCACGTGGCATGTTGCGTTTAAGATGTTTGAATGTGAAGGAATTCTATGTCATCATGTGTTGTGTCTTTTAGAACATGTAGTTGGGCTTTCAATCTATTTAATAATTAAGAGATGGACAAAATTGGCAACAAGTAGACCTATGTATGATTGGAAGGAAATGTGGAAGGAATTGTCTTGGAGGGTTGTTCACAAAATGATTTTGAGGAGAGGACAATTCAAACAATTGAGTAGACATATTTAAGTGTATGTAACTAGTAGGAAGGGACCAAGACCATCTTGATATTGTCTCCAAGTCAATTAAAGGAGCTATGCAATTATTGGAAGAGTCAAGTGAGAATAAAGTAAAAGTAAGAGTTGTGAGTTGGGCCCTTTCATTGATTCAAATTTCTCAAAACAATTGAAGTATTCCCTCCTAAAAAAAGAACAAATCAAAGGGCATGAGAAGCGAAATAAAGGAAGGAAAGAGCCGACAACGGAGTAACAAATAGAGGAAAAGGATTTGTCAAGCGTGCGGGGAAGAAGTCTATCGTGATAGTCGTAATTGTCCAAACAAACAAATCAAAGTAGTTTTTGAATACTAAGCTACAACTTCAATGTATTACTTATTGATAACACAATATTTCATTTTGTAAAACTTTGAATATCACATGTGCCCACCTTTGTTTCTTAGTTTTGAATGGCGATTTTCTCTTCTTTCAACTATGCTCACATGGTGATTTACCATTGCTTATGATGGAGCAATGGTCAAATCCTTTGGCGTTTGCACATTTCCCTGCTCACCCGGCAAAAGACATGCACAGAGAAAGCTGCTATACATGGTATAGTTTATAGAATGTCCCTCATGAGAAAAGTCAATATGAGTAAAAACAATGTGAAATACTGTTAATTGTGACATTAATAATGATGTCATAACAATGCCCAATAAATGTCAAAACATAACATTATGACTTTGATAGTAATTTACTCTTATTAAGAGGGGCATATTATTCATATTTTAGAATTTCATATTATTTTTATTCCTGTTCTTAAAAACTTTGCGAAAGATCACGACTTTCTACTTTACTTTCATTACCAAATCATTTAAATGAAATATTATTGACGCTTTAAAGACTGATAACTTAATGTGATCAATGTTAAAAATGATTTATGTGCATATATCAATAAAATATGATCAAAGCAATGTGTGTGTGTGTGTGTATATATATATATATACACATATATTGCAAAACTCAATTGATAAGAATGAAAACAGAAGGAACTAATAAGATATTTTTAACATTGGGTTATAAGTTACAAGTCAGGGTTGAGTGCACTTTTACGGTTGTCAGAAACTTTCGACTGTTCTTTACTACTCTAGATTCTTCTCCTTTTAATTATTTGAAAAGTTTAATATCGTAGAGGTATTTCGATTTTTCACAAAGACAAAAAAACTTACAAGCCATAAAATTCACCAAAGCTCTGGTATTAAAGTTTAAAATAAAATTGGTATACAACTTTCTTTTTATGGTAAAATTGGTATACAACTTTATGACAAAGAAAAAGGGGAAAACAAAGAAAAAGAGGAAAAATGAAAAAACTTTGGTCACATGACATAGAGTTCAGTTCAAGATTGTAGAATTTTGATTTGTTAGAGTTCCAACCCTGGTTTGTATAGGGATTTGTACACTTTCAAAAGTTGCATTCCTTGGTTAACAATGGATCAACTATCTTCTCTGAAAGCCGGACCGATTTTGAGGATTTGAAGGGCAATACGGTATGGACGGCATCGTTTCCTCCGACAATGCTCTTAGCCTGTTAAGCTCCGGCAATACGTCGGTGCCGAGATCTGGCCGGTCTTTGCGCCTGAGCTCCGCGCACTTGAGAGCCAACTTCGCAAACCTCATCGTCTCCTCAATCGGCCAGTCAGGCACCGCCGGATCAAGCATCTCAGCAAATGTTCCTTTCTCGATCGCCCTTTCCACGTTATGAGTTAACCCCATCGGAGGTTTTGCTGTGATTATCTGAAGCAGCATGATTCCCAGTGAGTAGACGTCGGATTTTATCCCCAGCATCCCCGTCTGTTGATACTCTGGATCTATGTAGCAGAACGTTCCGGCCGCCGATGTCATCCGATACTGTGTCACGCTGTCAGCCACATTGGGAGGCACTAGCCTGGCTAAACCTACATCACTGATTTTGCTGACGTAGTTCCGGTCGAGTAAAATGTTGGCCGGTTTCAGGTCACGGTGGACCAGTGGCTCCGGCTTCGTTTGGTGGAGGAAGAGAAGCCCGGTGCCGATCTCCGCCGCTATCCGGAACCTGACCTGCCAAGGAAGAACAGGAGTACTGCCGCGGGAGAAGAGACGGTCCTCTAAGCTCCCATTCGCCATGTACTCATACACCAAGCAACCGTACTCCGGGCAAGCTCCGAGAAGGAGAACCATGTTCGGATGTCTAATACAGCTCAAAACTTCAACCTCTTGCTGGAATTGAGACCTCCCCTGGGCGGCGTCTGGTCGTAGGACCTTAATTGCGACCTCAGTGTGATCGAGGTGAGCTCTGTATACAGGTCCGTAACCGCCTTCCCCAATTTTTCGGGAGGCGGAGAAATTTTCAGTTGCGGATTCGATGTCCTCGATTGAATACTTGCGATAACGGCATTCGTTGTGGGCGATTTTGTCTAAGACCTTCTTCTTCTCATCCGCTTCCCGGAGAGCTTTCATCTCAGCACTTATCCTCTTTTGTGCTTCTAATTCAGCGAGTCTCTGAGCTGCCTCGGCTGCTTCTAGTGCGGCCCTGCACTTGGCTTTCTCTTTCTCTGCCATGGCCAATGCTGTTTCCTCCGACAGCCGAGCCTCTTCTAGCTTCTGCTGCTCTTCCATTTTCCAACGATGGAGTTCTAGAGCCTTCTGTTTTGCTGAGAGTGCTTCCTTGCAGGCTGTGCTATACATGTCCATTGTTTGCTTGAGTTCCTGCTTTAGCCTTCTCATTTCGGCCTCTACATCATCCTACACAATGTGTGATAAGGTATTATAAAGACACGAACTTATACTACGTATAAAATTCTTTGAGTTATTTCTATTATCAAGTTAATATTTTTAGATAGTATTAGAGTCCATTAAACTCAAATCAAGATTAGAATACTCTAGTACACAATCACTATTTGAGTTAACTCATTCAAGCTTGGTTTGCTAGGATAGACAACCACTTTGAATTACTCTTAGATTAAGGATCGAACTCTAAGTCTTAGTATTTCATTTAGTTATAATCAGTCCATGGGGAGAAATGCATACCACGGTCTGGGATGATGAAGACCAAGATCCTCCACTTTCTTGAGAGAGTGATGATAAGATGTTTGAAGGGTTATAGTTCATGTCAGATAGCCTGGGTCCAGAAAGTGCTGACCCAAAACTCAACCTGTTGTCTGTGTCAGAGCCATTGGAAAGGCGATGGAGGATACTGGATTCTTGACTGTCAGAGAGCATTGGAAACATGCGCTCTGTGCTAGGCCTACCCGAACTAACGAATGATATGTCAGAAGAGTCTGGTATAGAAAGTTCCCCGTATGATCTGTTTGAGTACTGGCCTCTAGAGAATGGAGATCTGTGTAGATTTTATTCATGATGCATTAGTTAGTACTAATCATTCATATTTAACTACTTTATCCCTAAATGAAGTTCACTTTAGATTTTACATTTCAAGATATCGAATTGATGATATCTTAATTCTCATGTAATAAGGCATAAATTAGTAGTGTCTATTGGACTTAATAACCCAAAATCGAATTTGAATATGATAAAATTGGATTCATAAGATTACAAAAAGGGTTAGGAATCACAAGTATGTAAAGTTGATCACAAGTATAGTAAAAATAAACATAACATGTGAATAGATAAGGTATTGCTATAAGTTTATTTAAAGCTCACTTGATGAAATCATTATCCTCTGTGCTTCTATGCGAAAATGGTGATGATCTCTCTGAAGCATTCCCTACAATAGGTGATGAAATACTTGTTCATTACACGTGATATATAGAAAAGTAACCAAAATGTATGTTCTGTAGACAGACTAAAGATATGTGTACATTTCATCTATATATATATGACACTTGTTTATTGAGTGATGAAAAGTTGTCTTACTTTTCATCCCCTGATAAATATGTATCATGCAAAAACATACACAATAAAAGTATATGCAAAATGTGTGTCTAGAATTATTTGGTATATTTATTTTTGTAAAATAGTATACAGAAATAGGAGATATTGAACACACACCTAGGCTCTCATTACTATGCATGAGGCGAGGATCGGAGAAACCAGAACTTGTTGTGCTACGGGAAGACACCGTGGGGGTAGCGATACTGGCGGTCCTTGAGGAAGCAAGTTTACCCTTGGCCACTATGTAGACATTGCAGAACTCAGGAGCATTTCTGGTTACACTGGTCGGAACATCTGGTGTCTTGAATCTTCTGTGCCAAAGGGTTTATAAGTACCCATATGTGTGTGCAGGAAAATCCTCAAATGCCGAGTTAGCATTGTTCACATACTTAAAAAGATTGTACCTTTATTCTAAAAACGTTTGATATTTTTTAAAATTTTTTTTGATAGGAATCATGTAAATTTGACCTATTATACACATGTATGTGTTTGTAGTAAGTGTAATGAAAAGGGGGGATTTTGTGGGGCACAAAGTTTGTTATTGAAAACAATTATATATAACGTCATTTTTAAATATTTATATCACTTTTTTAAATAGAAAAAAAGGGTTAAATGAACCCTTCTACAATCGCAAATCCTTCCTCTAAACCCATGTACTAAAAAAGAATCGCATAAACCCGCATACTTTAAAAAACGATCAAATCTGTGATTTTACCTGAAGATAACCAGTTTTAGCCGGTCACCTAATTTATACAACGTACTAATACGTATTTTTTCATTTTTCTTCCTTTTCCTTTTTCTATCTTCGTGGCATGTTCGTCCCGCCCCCACCCTCTTCCCCTTCATCTCCATCCTTGTTATTCTTTTCTTGTTCTTCATCATTCCTTTTTCTCTCTCTTTTCTAGTAATATTTACGGAAAACAACTTAAGGAGAAGCCCTCTTGAGTTTTTTTGTTGATGGCGGCAATGTATTTCCCCGGCCTGGTGAAAGGTTTGCTGGATTTCAAGTTCAGATGGTGGTCTTGAGCCATCCCCAGCAAAAGTTCCACTCCTGTAAGGACTTCCACGTTTGACGGCACACTCTCCATCTCAAACATGCTTGCGCCCAATGTGTATCCAATGGGAACAAATACTACTGTGATGAGCAAGCTGTGTTATGGCCGTCAACGGGGTTGCCTCCTGCCCACCATTCTGGGATCTAGTGTTGTTGGGTTCTCCATTGATCTCTAGTTGCATCAAGAAATGCTTTGAATTCACTTCTACAGATGAGACACTTTCTTTATCACTTCTGCTAGTTTCTCCACATACCCTTACATGAAGTAATATCGATCTGGTTTAATTTTGGACTGAGAAGGTTGATTGGAATAGAATGTGTTGATAACTCTCTCCCTCCCTCTATATATACCTCGATCGGTTTTTAGAAATGAAATACGGAGTAAATAATTAGCTTAAGAGTGGTTAGTTTTTGGATGTCAGATGTATGGACTATGGAAACAATCATTCTAACAGCCATTGTTACTTTGATAAACACGGGTGCTGTAGAAAAAAGAGGGAGGAGATTGGAGAACAAAAAAAGAACGAAAAGGAAATCAAGAAAGATAAAAAAGTAAAAGTTGAATAGGTTAGAGGGTGGGAGCGGGAGGAACAAACGAAAAGAAAAATACTCCGTATTACAAACGAGCAACTGACCGGCTAAACACGGTTAGCAACCAGTAAATTGGTTGATCTGATTGTTTCTTTCGAGTAAACATATGTATGTGATGCTGGTTTTAGTACATGAGTTTAGATGATGGATTTGCCATTGTAAAGGGGTCTATCTAACCCTCTTTCCTTTTAAATATACTACTTTGACTTGCTAGTATATTTTAAAGAAATAATGCATACCTGACGAAGCTGTTCCTTGATGGGGATCCAAGCACAATGTTATCAATTGCATTGATATGAACATAGTCGCATAGAGCTTTTGATATGTCTGCTCCTTCAATTACAATCTCATTAACGTGTATCTGTACCAGAAAGAACAGAAGAAAAGAAATAATGGGATTGATTTGTCAAGATATTTTTGCAACCAAGAATAAAACTTACGTTCTTTCTAGTGCAAAAGCAACGGAAAGGCAAAAACAATTCCTTGGATTGATTGTCAAGTTGACTTTTGTGTACAGATGAATAGCTTTCATCAGCATTTTGTGCAGCGCCAGGCTTGAGGAGGACGTGGAGAAGGGTGACACTTTTGCCTTTACCAAGAGAGAATTTATCAATAGCCCATTTGAGAGCAAATTGACTTCCTTTGTCCTTGTCAATTGCAACCACAACCGACTCGTCTCTTTTCATTAGTGCACTCTTTTGGCTATTAATCATACTTTTCTCTTTGATCACAATAGTTAAAGCAAAGAAAACCAATGCAAATCTTTCCTATTCCAAAAAACCTTAATTTGCAAAATCCTTAACAAATCAAATGAGATGTCTAGGACCTCCCTATTCAAGGGATGGAGAGGCCCTCTTTTGATGATTCTTGATTAATGTTGGGATTGGAGGTTCTAGGAGAGGTTTGTTCACCCTAGAACTCCTCCCAACTAGTTACCTCCCCAATTGTCTTCCCATTCTTTTCATCATATTAGACCAATTTTCTCACCCTTGGCTTCCCAAATATAACGCAATACAATAGAAGCCATTGGTTAACATGTGATCTTCCTTAAACAAGCTTCCTACAATTGCGCTGCATCTTCTTATATTTCTTTCATTCCATATCATCTATTTATTATACCTAGTATATAAGAAAACATATAGCTCATAGAAATACAATTTTACCCTTAAAAAAATCTTATGTGTCATTCTCCCCACAAATTACTCCTCTACACTACAAATCTAATTCAAGGTTAATATAGAAAGTAACCAAACACGCAAATTAACAAAGGAAGGATATCCTTTATATTAAAAAAAAACGTGGCATCAATTTGATAGGGCCTAATATATAAAAAAACACCATTTCTTTTAAAGTGTTATAACTTTTTTAGCATTTATCTAATTTTTATAAAAATTATATCAAAATTCATAATTTTTTACGATCTTTCACATTACACCAATATTGGATATATATAATTTTAAAAAAATTAAGGATTATTAAACAATCTTCCTATTTTCCAACCTCAATACAGAATATTCCATATTAAATAAAGAAAATAATTCCTATATAAAAACTATATCAAAATTCATTATTCTTAACAATCTTTCATATTACATCAATATTTAATATATAAAATTAAAAAATATATGAAGGTTTATTAAACAATCTTCCAATTTTCCAACCTCAATACAGATTAATCCGTATTAAATAAAAAATAATTCCTAATATATGATCAAAATAAAGATAATGGATAAAAATAGGACTTATTAATTTTCAGTGACTATAATTATGTTTAAATTATATCAAAGCAACTATTAGGCAAAACTTTTCCAATAGACATTTGTGAACAAAAATGTAACTAAATACTAGGCAAAACATAATTATAATTCCCAAAAATTAATAAGTCACATTTTCATTCATTATCCTTATTTTGGTCATAATTATGAATTATTTATTTATTTATTACGAAATAATCCGTATCGAGGATGGAAAATCGAAAAGTTGTTTAGTAAACATTAAAAAAAATTGTATATGCAATATTGATTTTATATGAAAAATTAGAATAATTTATGAATATTTTTGAATGATAGAAGTTACTGTACAAAATATTCTTAGCTACTTTTCATATAATATTTTTTAATTTATATCGTCTCCTCAACTCATCTCTAATATTAACATCATAAGTCTCAATCGGCTTACGCAATCCAGGATCACCAACAATGTCATCATCCGACAATTCAATCTCTATTCGAGCTTTTTTAACATTAGTCTCATTGTTAGGAATGACATTTTCCGATGAAGAAATTAAATTATTCGATGAAGAACCACCAATGATAGGCTGTTTCGGTTTCGGCGGAATTGCCGAAAAATATCGTAACATAGCCATTGTTTGTAACACAACCTAGACCAACTACAATTGAAATTTGAAATAATATGAGTATAATTTTTCAAATTTGAACTATTCAACTAATTCAAGTATTCAACATTTAAACCATAAGTGATAAGTCACACAACATATAGGAATCAATGATTCAATGAAGCATAAATCATTCATGATTCATCAACAACACAACAAATCAACAATTAAAAAAAATTAAAACATACCTTCGGGCTTCGGCAATCAGCACTGGCCGCACTGCGTGAGTGCGTGGAATTCCTGGTGTGGCCGCGTGGCGGCATGGGCGGTGGGTCGGCCGCACTGCGCGAGTGCGTGGATGGTGGACTTCCTGGCGTGGCCGTGTGGGCGGTGGGCGCCTCTCGCCGTCTCGCGTCTCGCCTGAGTCGCCTCTCGCCGTCTCGCGTAGTCGCGTGCAGCGTGCTGCGTGCAGGGCAGCAGCCGACTGTCGCCGGGTCGGGAAAGGCCAAAAGGGGGGATTGGGGGAAGCGGGGAACGGCCGAACGGGATTTGGGAAAGGGGGGAACGGGAATGGGAAAGGGCCGGGGGAACGGGAATTTGGGCCGCAGGGAAAGGGGAAGGGGAATTGGGATTGGGCTTGGGTTGCAGCCTGCAGGGGCCCAAGTTAAAAAAATAATATATATATATATATATATATATATATATATATATATATATATATAAAAATCACTGGGGGGGGGGCGAGCACCCCCTAGCCCTAGGGTGGGTCCGCCCCTGAGTTTGCTAACAGTTAAGCATGAAAGCTTTCTCTCTCATATGTAGTCTTCTAAGTATAAGATAAACCGGCAAACAATTGAGCGAAAGAACTTTCTCTCTCATATGTAGTGCTTTTAGGTAAGATAACTCGACTAACAATTAAACGGGAAAATTTTCTTTCTCACATGTAGTGCTTTTAGGTATTAAAAGATAAGCTTGCTAATAATTGAGTGGGAGAACCTGATCTTTCATAAACAGTTGTTTTAAGTATAAGATAAGTCGGCTAACAATTGAGCGGGAAAACTTTCTCTCTCATATGTAGTGCTTTTACATATAAGAAAATAAGCCGACTAACAATTGAGCGGAGAAATTTTTCTCTCACACGTGGTGCTTTTAGGTCTTACAAGATAAGCTTGCTAATAGTTGTACGTGAAAGCTTTCTCTCTCATATGTACTCCCTTCGTCCCATTTAAAGGTTCTCATCCACTATTCACATGGTCAACTTAAATAATTCTTAACCTTTTGCTTTATATATCAATTTTTAATGAAATTTTCATTTTTTAGGCTTGAGGAGATACGAATATAAGTTTTGTTGGATAATTGATACCCATATTGTATGAAAAGGAGATTTGAACAAGAATGTAGTAGGGAAATGGAGAAGAAGAAGATAAGTGTATTGAATGTGAGTTTGTGTGTTCTTTACAAGCCTCCTATAAGGAGTATATATAGGGAAATACGGGTCTGGGCCTCTAATACGGGCCTGACAGACCCAGTTACATAAATGGACTTATA